GAGGTAGGTTGCACTGAATGTCTGAGGCTAGCCCAAAGTCACCCAGTTGGCTCAATGGCTGAGTGGGGACTAGAACCTAGACAGCCTGGGTCCCAGTCCCATGCTTGTAATCACACCACACACTGACTTTTTAGGCAGAAGTGGTGTACTGGTTAAAAGCATGGGACTGGGACTCACAATCTGGGTTCTAGACCTCACTCAGCCATGGAGCCAACTGGGTGACTTTGGGCCAGTCACAGACTCTCAGCCCAACCTACCTCACAGGGTTGTTGTTGTGGGGATAAGATGGAGGAGGAGAATGATGTAAGCTGCCTTAAGCCCTTTGTAGGAAAAAGGCAGGATATAAATCGATAGATAGATAAATAAATAAAGTCCTATATTTGCTAGACTCCCCAGCCAGGAGTGGTGGCTGGGAAATGATGGAAGCTGTAGATCTTTTGCCTGCTTAAACATACGAGCAGTTGTGCCCTTTATGACTTTGCATCTTTTACTGGGTTCACTGCAGAAGTGCAGCAAGTTAAGATGATTACTTCTAAAGTTACCTAAAGGAGCACTTACGTCCATATGTGCCCGCCCGCCCCTTGAGATCAGCGGGAGAGGCCCTTCTCCGGGAACCTTCCTTGAAGGATATTAGGAGGGTATGTACTCAGAGGAGGGCTTTCTCTGTGGTGGCGCCCAATCTATGGAATGCGCTCCCCAGAGAGGTCTGCCTGGCGCTGTCGTTATTTGTTTTTTGACGCCAGGCCAAGACCTTTTTATTTAAATGCCATTTTAATTGTTAATATTATTTATTTTATTTTTATGGCCAGGACATCTCCAATTATATTATATTGTTTTATATTGTTATTATTTATTTATTGTTGTAAGCCGCCCCGAGGCTTCAGTGAATGGGGCAGCATAGAAGCTTTCTAAATGAATAAAGACAGAATAAAGAAGCTGTGAAAAAGTGACATGCAAGTGCAGAGCAATAGTTCATGACAAAGCTATAATTTTAGTTCAGGAGTGATCAACTCCAGCTCTTTGTCCAGGCGGCCATAATGGCCTACTAAATATCAAAGCCTACCGTAGAATTCATTAGGAATTCTGAAGTTTAGAGTCCAGGACTTCTGTATGCACTCTAGTTACTTGTCCCCCTCTTTTTGGCAAAATGATGCAGCTAGGTCACTTCAGACCCTGGATGTAATCGGCCATAACAGGGTCCTGACCTTAGAAGACCATGCCTATTATTTATTACAATCATAGACCAGCATAAGTGATTGTAGGCCAACATAACAGATTAAACAATGCTTTTCCAGTTGAAATAACAGTTTGAAATGAACTTAAAAACAAAAAGGAATGGACACTAAAAATTAAAATAACCTATTAGTTCAATTATGAACCACACAATTAATGTTTCTTACCCCATTCTATGTTTTACAACTACTTCTACATTCATAGGAGATTAGAGTGAAAAACAGAATAAAAAACCTGTGTGCAACTCGGATTAAAAAGAAAGAACAAATGTTTTACATATTTTCAGTTTCAATTTTTAAATCCTAGGACCATCATGACTACATGAGTAAAATGGTGTTTGCTTCTGCTGCTCTGATGCTAAAACACACCTACCTGGGAAATGAGCACCTTGTAGGAAAGGGTAACAGATTTTGTCAAGTAAAACCAATAGAATGAGCATCTGCAGACATGTACCTGCTTCGATGGCTGCCCCTGATTGTAAGGTATTTTAAATCAGTGATGATGTGGTAAATAGCATCCACCCCAATGGGCTCCAGTATTGGACCTGTCTGCTCCTCTCCCCATCACCTGCTGGGGTCTGGTGTGATTTTGGGATTCCTTGCATGGCAGGAGTGGGAACTTTGGCTCTAAGATCCTGCACTGGCTGCATCTCTGATTTGGCAGCAACTATTCTTACAACACCCCCCACCCTCCTTACAATACTCTTTCTGCTTTCATTATTCGGGACCTGGGGCACAGGCTGGGTAAGTGCAATATTAACACTTTGTGATCCTATCCTGAATGCACCTGTTGCATTTTCCTAAGCTCAGCTCTGCATTTCATAGCAACGTCATCACATAACTCTGTAGAAGAGGCACCACAATTCCACCCAGTCAGTGTGTCTCTGTGCATACATGTGCAGTCACGTGTGTAACCAGCGTGGAATGTTCATGTTAAAACCATCAAAAGACTTTCAGGTATCATGGGACTCTCTGTTGCTTTTGCTCAATAGATTAGCACATCTGCTTCCTGGAAACTGTTAGGAGAGAGCTAACTGTGTGAGCCGTGTAATCAAATTTCTGAAGGGCTTTATATCCATACAGCACAGTGAAATAAATTGACATCTTCTTTGTGTGTATGTAAGAATCAAATGAAATGATGAAAGGTTGTGTCCTCAGTGGAAATTCCTGTTTAGTCTGTGTATACATTGTTACTCAGTGCCAACTGCAATGGTAGACTTCATTCTTCTTAATATATGTTTATGAATGAATCTTTTATAACTGAGCCAAATCAAATATTAGGAGAGGAGGGAGGGAGTCCTAGCCAATGTTAATGTTTACCTGAAAAGGCTTTGCTGACAAATGATAGATGAAAAGATTGGGTCCAAAAAGTATGCAATTCTCTTCCTGCTCTGTTGCAAACAGCTTGCTATGTTGCTGGTTGTACATTGTATAAAAGCTGGTGGTTTACTTGGAAGTAGAGGAAACTCAGCATTCATTTACACTATTCATTCTAATATAGGCACCCTTCTGTTCTAGCTGAAGCATTTTCAAGAGCAGCCTTAGTACCCATGGGCAGCAGGGTGGTAGGGCAGATGGCCCCCCAGAGATCCAGGGCTCCATCCCTAGTGGACCACCCTGAATTCTACCTGGGAACCACCAACCAATTCTGCCTTCACCTTGTCAGGATTCAGCTTCAGTTTCTTAGTCCATATCCAAATCCATACAGCAGTTATTGGACCATTGCAATCCTATACGAGTCTCCTGGGTAGGTTCGGTGGGTTCATTAAAATATTATTTGCAATCAGGCTAAATTTCTCTGTCGTTCCCTCCCCAGGTCTATGGTGGCAACCAGAGCTAAGGTGAAACAGACAGCGGAGCCAAATTTTATGCAGTGGGCATTATCAATTAAAATCCCTTTCCTGTATTTTGAAGCACCAAAATGCATGTGATAACACCCTAAATTATGCTAAGCCTGTAGGAAACGATCCTATGCAAGTTTGGCCAGAAGGTCCTAGAACTCCCAGCATGCCCCAGGAAGCATGGTTGCCTAGGGAGTGCTGGGAATTGTAGGAATGTTGTTGTTTACACTTTCATAGGATCATGCCTAAAACTTTTTAACTCAGAAGTTTAATCCAATACTTTTTCGCTTTATCGCAAGTCCACCACATATGATAGAAGGTACCCAATTTATGTTTACATTTCCAACATCCATTTGACATATTTGAAAACATCTTGGCTAGTCTATTTGGCGACAAATACCATCTATAAAACATTTTATACAAGTTTTCTTTATATGAAGTTGCTAATGTTACCTTAATATTTCTTTCCCACAGCTTTTGCCATTTTTCTAAGTCAATATTATATCCAAAGTTTTGTGCCCACGTTATCATAGTTTCCTTAACCTGTTCATCTTCCATTCTTCTATCTAGTAAGAAATTGTATAATCTTTTAATCATTTTCCCATCTGATTTAAGCATCACCTGATCAAATGCTGTTTAATCCTTATAAAAGCCCCACATTCTATAGTCTTTAGCATATCTCAATTGTATCAGCACTTTATGCCACCAAGAAATATTAGATCCTTGTTCTTGTATTTCTTTATTCAATTTCAGTCCTCCATTATTATCCAAAATGTCATCATATCTTATGATCGCTTCAAAATTCAATGCGTTTGGATATACAAGAGCTTCCATAGGTGAAAGCCATTTTGGTAATTTATTATACAGTTTTGTCTTTAACTTTTCCCACACTGATATTAATATTTCCTAATATAATGACTTAAAAACAACTATGTGCCTTACACTTTTCATACCACATATAAGCATGCCAACCCATTTGCAAATCATGCCCTTTGAGATACAAGATTCTCTTATTTCTTAAAGTTATCCATTCTTTTAGCCACGTTAAAACAAAAGCTTGATAATACAACATCTAATCAAGAAGACCAAAACCCCCATTCTCTTTAGCCTCCTGAAGTATTTTTAATGTAATCCTTGGTTTCTTCTTTCTCCATATAAATCTCGAGATTTGAAAATTTAAATCATCAAAAAATTTTTTATCAATTTTTATGGGAATCATTTGGAATAGAAACAAAAGCTTTGGTAATATATTCATTTTAGCTAGCGCTATTCTTCCCAGCAAGGATAATTGCAAATTAGCCCATTTTTCCAAATCACTCTTAATTTTCTTAAATAGTTTATCATAAATAGTTTCTTAAATAGTTTATCATAATAAAGCAAAAAAGTATTGGATTAAAATGCATAAATGGCTTGAGGAAATGTTACAAAAATCTCTGGCTTTTAAACCTGAAGAAGTTTAGCTGACTTCTCAGGAAAATGCTGGAATCCCTGAAATTTCTCACTGGCCAAAAGTAAGGTGCACAAAGTAATACTTTCGTTTTCTGTATGCTGCCTTTAAGCCGTTTCAACTTCTTGAAAGGTAATATGCATTAAATATGCATTAAAAGATAATGCATTTTTACAGTATACGCATCCATAGATAGATAGATAGATAGATAGATAGATATAAGGAAAATCCAACCCCAAGGATGTCAACCAATGGAGATTTCCCGTCGATAGCATTTATTCGTTGCTGGTTTTTTTTAATCGCTTTTCCAAAGAATGTTTTCACACACTCCGGAAAAATCAGGCGAGAGCCAACAAGGAACAGACTGAAAACAGAGAAAAAGGGCAAAGGCTTCACTTATCGACGATGCGCACGCGCCTGCTTGTGGCTCCCTGCGGACCAAGGGAGAAGCTGATTGGAAGCGGCGGTCATGTGACAGACGAGTGGGCGGGGTGGAGGATTGTAATATGGCTGCGCCCATGTGCATCTGCTGCTTGATATTTTTCCCGCGTTTGCCTGAATTCTCGTGCGCGCATGGATCGGGGCGATTTCTTGATCTCCCTGACGGTGAGTGAGTGAGACAGACTAAGACGCACGGATATAAATTAATTTAATTAATAAATTAAAAATTGGGCTGCGTTTCCTAAGGAGTGAGAACGGGGAAACCAGCGTTTCCTTTTTTCTGCATAGAGCCCTTCAAGCTCAACTGTTTTGGGGAGACGAATGATCAGTTAAGCAGCTTGATGTCATGCACTTTTACTTGGACGTAAGTCTCGCAGAGACGGAGGAGTCCATAATCGCTAATAAAGTGCGGTCCTAAGTGCGGAGGGAGGAGCAAAACGTTTACCGAGCTGAATTCTTCAGGTTACAACTGAGACTACAAGAAGTTTGTTTCACTTTCTTTGTAGAAATGGGCGAAAATAAGAGCGAGCTTGCAAACTATCTGTGGGGAAAAGGGTTGGCTTTCTTCGCGTTACCGTGTTGCAGTTCCTTCGTACTGGATTCCATTTAAAAACTCGCTATATGGCGTTTTGACGTGGAGTTTGAATTTTCAGAAGTGCTGTATAAGGCTTTAATAGAGATTTTGCCTTGCCTTCTTCATTGAATTTATGGGTGGTGGTGGTCATTTCCCATTCATAATTCTCTGCTTTTGTACCATGCTTCTATATATTTACGTAAAGTAAATGCTTTTTAAAAAGGAGAAACAGAAGGAATATCTGCACAGTAGTTCTGAAAGCACCCTTGGAAATGCAGCTTTCTGACTTGACACACAGTAGTTGTTTAAAAATCCCTTTTGGGCCTCAAAATGATACAGTAGCTTTATCATCATATCTTTTCCAGAAGTTCTCAAGTATGATTAAAGCTTTGTCTGTCAGTGATAAAGCTTTGAAGCAGATTACTTTCCCATATCTGTTATCTCACATGCTTATAGTGAAAAGAATTAAACACACATGAACTATCAAACGTGTTGTACCTAAAGAGAGTACTTAAAGAGTTATCAATGGAAATGTGTCCTTTCAGTGCCATGTATGTCATTGTATATATAAGAGTGTAAATTATACTGATGTTGTTTCAGTCCAGTTCTATGCATGCTTACTTGGAAATATTGCAAGTTCAAAGGGACTTGCTTATATGAACATTTACACTGTGGTCTTATGTGCATTTTACTTGGAAGTAAGTTCCATGTTTGATTATGTGAAAGTCTCTACTGAAAAAATATGTTTAGCATTTGACGGTAGGTTTCCTTTCAACCCTTTATACCTATTTGGGCTAAAGACATAAGTAGATCTGGCTCCACTAAACTGATTAAAGTGGGCTGTGCATTAACTGTCCCCACTAGCCAATTCAGCAATGTCCCTGTTTGGTTTTGCTTGCTTGTTTGTATCTGTCCTTTCAGGCTATTTTCTCCCTCACCAAGTTAGGGTGTAGTCCAGTTGACCATCCTGTAAGCCTCCAGAGTTGGAGAATTGTGGGCATCCTGTGCAGTGTGTGTGAGGAGTATAGAGGTGAGCATCTCCTCTGCAGTCCTCTCATCCTCAAGCATTTTGGAGGTCAGAGTTCATATCCAACATAATTTTTGCAGCTGCAGGTGCAACTGCTGCTGTTTTTTTTCCGCAACAGCTGTGGGGTAGGGTGAAGGAGTATCCTGATTGCAGAATCCCAACTATGAGATTGAAATAATTTTCAATCTATGGCCATCTATCTATTTATCTAGATATCTAAAGCATTTTTATCCCATCCTTTACAGGAGTTTCAGGATGACAAAACAAAGTGGTGGCATACCATGTAGTATAATTTAATAAGATCCAATATTAAAATCTTAATCAGATCTTAAAATGCAAGGAAAATGAAAAGTTTTTGGCCTGGCGCTGAAATGAATAAAGCATGTGTCCTCAAACTAAGGCCCGCCATGCCCATTTAACTGGCCCGCCCCACAGGTTTTGCACTTGCCGGGTGTGCAGCTTGCTCATGAGGTCATTTTGGACTAGCTCGGAGAAAACAATCTCCTTGTGAGCAAGCTGGCGCCTCGCCCCACGTCCCCTATCCTCGTCTCGCCTCGCACGCGTGTGTGCCCTGCCCCCTCACTGCCCCCCCCCCCCCCCCCCCCCCCCTGGGCCCCCCCCCCCCCCCCCCCCCCCCCCCCGCCGGCACTGCCTTGGCGGCCCGCGCCCACCGCTGGCACCTGTCAACTGGCCCCCTTTAGAAAAAGTTTGAGGACCCCTGGAATGAAGTATCGGCACCAGGTGCACCTCTCTGGGGAGCATGTTCCAAAGCCAGTGCATCACCGCAGAAAAGGCCCTTCTCTGGGCAGCCACTCCTCTGATCTCCTTCCTAGAGGGGCTCCCAAAGACCCAGGTCTCGGGACAAGTACACATGCAAGGGAAAGGTATCTAGAAGGTATCCAGTTGCCACACGGTTGGTTTTTTATTGCATCTACTTGTTGTGTGTGTTGCTAACATGAAATAATGGTTGTTTTCTTCCGAGGTACCCATTTATGGAAAAATGAGGGTTTTTTCTAATAGCTTTTAAAAAATTTTAAACAATCTGAAATCAGTTCCCGTTTAATGCCTGTTGCAACCATCCTTTAGAACAAATTTGGTCTGTTTCCTAATGCTGTACATTTGCATTCTTTAGTTCCAGAACAATGACAAAAGTATTAAATAGGTCTGCGTGTCGCTTTCCGGAGCTGAATATGTACACGCATATTCTTTTTCTTTTGCTAATTGTTTCATTTTAAGGACTGCTTTTAAAATGTTAGTTTGTTTGTTTGTTTGTTTTTTACCTTGGGATACATGGCACCATACTGTGTCAAAACTCCTGATAATTCAGCTGCTGGAGGCAGAGTAAGATTAACAGTGCAGTTCTAAGGATGCTTGGTTATATGTGTTGCTCTAAATTCTGTGGGATTTTACTCTCTAGTAAGTGCATTTAACGTTAACCCGAGGCAGGTTTCATGCAAACTTAGTGGGCATTTGTTTGGCTTCCATGCAGTGTTTTGTTAGACCCATTGCAGACGTGTAGCTTTGGGCCAAATGCATCCCATTACCCAGAAACATAAGAAATGATATGCTGTGTGTACATAACATATGTAGGTCTTGCCACTTAACCCAACTAGGGTGCACTCCTGTGGACTCTGTCTCTGCTGCTTGAACACCCCCAAGCTTGGAGGCTTCCAAGGTTCTGATGCCCTGCAAGACTGAAGCCAACAGGACAGAAGGAACAGTAGAGGGGATCTTCACCTCTTCATCCTCCGGTCTCTTTCATTTCCGTTGATTAGTGAGGGAACTTTGGAGAGAGAATGAAAGAGGCTGGAGGAGGCACCAGATAAATTGAATCCTGCCTCTCCAGTCTCCTCCCCTCCCCCTCTTGGACACCCCCTTTCCGCCCTCTCTGTAGTTGATTTTCCAACCATGGAGAGGCAACTGTGCAGTTCATTCTGTACCAGCTGTGAGGAGTTGGGTTGAGTCTCTAATTTTACCTTCCAAGGTCAGAGTGCTGTGTCGAGCCTTCAAAGGAGTTTATGAATCATCCTGTGGTCCTTGGGATGCATGCCCAGGTACCATAGGATTGTGCCCTTAAACATCCATTGTTTCTCCTGAATATTTATTCTTGCACTGATTCCTCTTATTTTTGCTAACACTATTCAGGGAAATGTTTGGGGGTTGGTGATTTCAGTAATAGTGTGACCACACCTTGTCCTACTTGGTATTTCAAAGCTTGAATATATTTAAAATTTAATATGGAGTTGTGTTTTCACATTCCTGAAGGTAGTTGCTCTGGGGCTTCTGAAAAATTGAGCAGGCTTGTGAAAAACTGAGCTGTGCTTTGCATGCTTGGTGGAAAAATGTCCAAAATGGACATTTGTGTATGCCTATCTATATTCTGAATATGCATCCATATCCACACATCGCAGATGTACCCTTTTTCAGCATAACTGAGATGCGGCATTCAGACCCAAATAAGCTGTACGTTCCTGCCTGACATTGTTTTTTTGTCAGTAGCCCTATACAGCTTTATCAAAGACATTTCCTTGTCTTGGAATCCTTTTAACTAATAGTGCCTAAAGATTCAATGTAAGAGTACAAGATTTGCAAGCTTTGGGCAAATCTCACTAGAAGGATACACTTGGATCAAGCTGTGCCAGGCAGAAAAAAATAGTTCGTACAAAGATTTCTATTTACCAGGCTTTAAAGGCACAGGTGCAGCACTGAGAAGGGGTGCCTAAGTCCCCTTGTTGTCTAAAAAAATCATTACCATTTTCCACAGATGGAACTGGCAGCTAGGTATTTGCACTCTCCTGCAGATGCTCCATTAGCCACTTCATGAATTTAAATTACATTTAAGATACAGAAGTTTGAAATCCAAAGAAGCAATTAGTAACTTTTGATTCATTCTTTTGCCAGATGGCTAGATTAAAATCAGATCAATTTTCTTTTTCTTTTAATCACTTGGTTCAGATAGGAATTCTGATGGAGATGGAGCTAGAAGGATGTGGGGTGGGGGCAAAATCAATGCATGCAAAATAGCCAAGCAGATTAAAAGAGTAATTAACTTATTGATTAAAACTTTAACTGTAGCCCGTGAGTACTTCTTGAATGGGGTGGAAAAGAATATCAGACTTGAGGACAGCTTTCCTTGGCTTCTCTTATCAAAGCATTCAGCAGGATTGTGTGAGCTGAAATGAACTACTGTTTGCTTGATGAATCTTTGGTCCACACGTAGAGAATTACCTGAGTTATCTTGCTTGCTGGCTGATTACGAACCAATAAATGTTTATTGTATGATAGGGAAGCCTTGCAAATATGTCAACTGAACTTTCGTGGCTCTTACAAATTATTATCCTATCTGCCTAGATAGTTCTGTACTAGTCACATCTGGTCTAAAAGAAAATAGAATTGTAGAACTTCCCTACCTGGTCATCTTTGTAAATCTTTACATTCCAGAGGGTAAGCACACAGGTGTCTACCTAGAAGACTGTGATTGTATCAAGGAAGGCGTTGGACCAATGCAGCTCTGGTGTTAATAGTGGTCAGACAACTTGTACATTCTCCCTTTCTAGTTTTGCATAGAAGTAAGCTCAAGACATAAATTTGTCCTGCAAACCAGCTTTTAAAGGTATTGGAGTACTGATAGAGTACTGGCCCTAATTTGCTGGTGAAGAATTTAAAGCAAACAAATCCATGTAGGATCAGCAACTCACAATTTGTCTCTTAATATATTTGATTCGGTTGGTTGGTTGTCTGTGTAGTCCTTTTGGAATTACTTGCACTTTTACAGATTTCAGATCATTTGAACTGGTTCAGTTTGGCTACTGGGACCATTTTTAAAACAATTACTGCTATCTTGAACAGGTCCAAATGGAGCCTGCAACAAAATGTTGCAGTGCAGTCTTCCTTATGGTAAGTGTGCCACTGCTTGGGGTTTGAGCCAGGCAGTCCCTCTAGAGGGAGCATTCTACTCTGCTGCTCCTGTTCTGTGCTTTTCTTTTTCCAACTGACATGCAGATTTCCACGACAACTGAACACACCCAGGCTGCTTTTATTATACTGTTGCCTCATTCATGGGACTTTATGGGAGGTCCACTGATTGTATGGCCATTGCCTCTTCTGTCTTTTTTCTTAGCCCAGAAACCTGTTAAGGAAAAAAAAGACCTTACTGGCCACAGATCAGCATGCTTAGTCCTCACTGGCTGCTTTTGGGGTGTCCCATTTTACTGATACATTTGAACAGCGGTTTTATTTTGTAAACTTCATGGTTACCCAAGCGTTCTGATCACTCATTCTTATTTCACAGCAGGCCCATTTTGGTTGCAGATCTGCCTTTATGCATTCTGATGCACTATCAGAGGGTATCATGACTAATTTATTTATTATATGTAATTATAAAAGGTATGACCTGCAGCAAAATGTTATAGGACCAAGTGCTCATGTTCAGGGTTCCATTCACACAGTTCTGCTTTATTTCAGGCTATTCTGTTCCTTTCCTTCCACCCTTCCTACTGCCCTTCCTTTCTGCTGCCCTCAGTTTTAAAAAGCATGCCATGTTCTATGGGCCTAGAATAATTTCAGTCCTCATCCTGCTGTTTATAGACTCCTTTCCTTGTACTTCTTGGAGATTTCCTAACCTGCTGATACCATTCTCTTGCATGTGGACAGGGCTGTCAGGGAAATCTGCAATGGATTCAAGTAAGTTGTGATTTCTGTGACTACAACCCATGGATTCCTTAGCAGACCAACTTTTTCTGAGTCATGTGGATTCCATGGACTCGTTGACCATGTTTTACACTTTTCATAATTTTTATTCAAATGTAGTCTTAGGAAACAATGGAATGTGCACATTTCTTCTGATAGCATGAACTTTGCATTTTGGGGGATTTATATATTCGGGGGTAGGGTTAGGTTGCACATTTTCGGAAGTGCAAATTTGTGCATGTGTATAGTATACATTTGCACAAAATCCAGCTCTGTCAGGGAGATGGTAGAAAGAAAGGCACTTGACAGTCTGCAGACAGAATGGATTTAATGAAATCTGTATGCTTGGATAGTGCCTTTTGGCTACCTGACCATCAGTACTCCAGCAACTCTGTTTGCCAATAATAGAACGATCCTGATGCTGGTACCCATGGTTTATCTCTTGGCAGTTGACAAGTGATAAGAATAAGCATTAAAAATCTTTGTGAAAATGTTCTACTGTCTGTTTTATGAATGTTTAAAAATACCCATCAGTACCTTTTAGGGTTCTGTTCACCAAACCAGGCTCCTTCTGAGTACTGTTTCAATATTTTCCCATAAAAGTTCATGTTAATCTGTCTTATGCCTTTATTTGCACTGACAAGTAACTATCCCATATTGCACAATTTACTTGTCACGCTCATGTCCCTGTCTCAGTTGAGATGGGTTCTTTAAGCATGGGCTGTGTCCATTCTGTTTGCACTTTCTGGCTTTAGCATACTGTGAACAAGAAACAAAAGTTAGTTCTCTGCTCTATCTTTCTTGCTGCATACTTATATTCCACCTCATAGTTTTGTGCTAGTGACATTTCATTCTGATATCATGTATGCTTATTGCAATATATTCTGATGGCCTATTTCACTCAAACAAGCAAAAAGCAATTCCTTTTTAATTATGATACAGTGAGACTGTATTTCTCTCTTCACTCCCCCCCCCCCCCCGTTGGAAATCTGCAACATCCATTCATTGTAAAAATAGGGAAAACATCTGTTTCTTTTGTTTTAAAAAATATATTCTGGAAACTTTACACTTGGTTATGTTATATCTTTCTATGCTATATTGCAATGTTTGTCCCTTTCACCCCTCTTTCTTAAGAAAATTTGTTTACTAAACTAGGTAAGTAGAGTTCTCTACTGATTTTGGAACTGTTGTTTGGTTTGCCAGTGAATGGGGACAAGTACACTTTTGTTATTTGAGACTTCATTCAGTAGCATTTGATCATGCTGCTTTAAATCTTGTTTTTTGCCTTGAGAAATAAATTGGTTGGTTCCTATTTTATAGATAATAGCTTTTTTGCAGGGAGACTTAATGGATCCATGTATAGGCCAGAATCTTGAATCAGGGCCACCAGTATTCAAGGCACAACCCTCTTCCCCCAAAAAATCCAGGAGGCAAAACTTCTCAGCTTCTAACCCTTCGCCTCCCTAAACTTCCCAGGCAGCAGGGCCATACCTTTTGCCTTTGTGCCCTTGTAGGTCCAGAGGCATTTTGAGAGAGTAAAGGAAGAGGGCAGCTGGCTGGAATTTGGTGTCTTGCTTTTGAGCACAGCCAGCCAAGGCAGTATTTTTATGTTGGCAGCAGGTGCCCTGTTGGGGAGCTCACACTTACATTGTGTGTTCACTGTATGGAATTCTTGCTTTTCGTTAACATGACTGGCTTTACTTTCTTGTTTGTCTTTCTCCCTGTCCCTGTTGAAGGCTGGAGGACTAGCAGGAACCTGCGTCGATCTGGTATTGTTCCCTTTGGATACAGTCAAGACTAGACTGCAGAGTCCTCAAGGCTTTAAGAAGGCCGGAGGTTTCCGAGGCATCTATGCTGGTGTTCCTTCTGCTGCTGTGGGATCTTTTCCAAATGGTAAGGTTATATTACATGTGCTGTGTATTTGTGATCACAGGCAAGGAAGCAAAAGCCGTAATGCATGGCTTCATTGCAGGCCTGGACCTTGCTGATAGCACTGTATGATACTTGACACCATCAGGCTGGTAGAGAAATAGATACTATGATTCTTCCTTTCCCTGAGAAAGATCACACCCAAGATTCAGATCCCGTTCACCAGGTTTGAAAGGAATGGTCAATTATGATGGAAGGCTACGTGCATATAGCACGTCGTATGTTTCAAAAGCACTTCACGTGCCTTATCTAGTAATCCTCACGATAGCAACCCTGATGACTTCTCCTATTACAGATGTGGTTGGCCAGAATGGGGGTAAGATGGAGTGTTCACCTATTAAGTTAATGGCAGCAGTTCATGGCAGAGATTCAAACCAGGGACTTGCTCCTTTGCTGTGCTCTGCGTTGATTGGCTAGCTGTGTTGACATCATATAGCCAGCCTCTTGCCAGCTCTACTTTTTAAACATTGGACTGTGCCTTGTTTTGTATGTAAACCTATACTTTGCCACAATGGGATGAAATAGTTAAACCTCAGTTTTCCAAGAGTCCTGAAGTTGGTCTAGAAATTGCAGACAAAGAAGCAAGGAAGAAGTCCAAGGTTTACTAGTGCTTCTGCATCTAATTCTAGAACAGTTAGGTGTTAAGTCTGAAAATGGTTTCTGTTATGTTTCTTAAGTTTAACAAGTAGAAAAGCAATGTCAGTTTGTGGAGAGAGGCTTTTACTGTTTCAGTGCTCTTCTTGACATCTCTTAGTTGGATGTTAATGAAAGTTTACAGAAGTATCCTCGGGCACCTTCAAACCTTCTAAGCCCTTCCTAAGATGATATGAAATTTTTCTGTTCTTTATCTTCTTTGCTCTTATCTCCTGGTGGCTGAGATAAGCATCTTTTGATTAACAACAGAGGATGGCAGATGCAGGGCTGTAACACAATTAAAAACTGTTCCTCTGGGCAAACTTCACTGTTTTTCTTTTGTACCATTTACATGTTTATATTCTGAAACCAGTTTTGTTTATAGGAATGCAACAAGGGTTAGAAATTTCAGTGGTATAAGCAATACTAAATGTGATAGAGGGCAAGTGTTTTGTCCTTAGATTTCTCTATACTGCTGCCATTTCATTATCAAGCTTTGGCTGTTCTTTTAGGCTGCTATGTCAGTTTGCTTGGATTAGTGAAGATTTTCAGAAAGTAAAAAAGAATGTGTAAAGTATGTGTTGACTAGAGCTGATGCTTCTGAATACCTGGCAGTCTGCACTGAATTCCAAGTTGCTGGTATATGTACAATCTGCAACTCAACTTAAAAAAATGAGTTTTAAAAGTAGTTTGCTATGTTGCAAGAAATGTAATAGTGGAAATTGCTTATGGTACATGCCTTAATGTCTGCCCCCAATACATTTTCCCCTCAACAACTTACATGCAAAATTGCTTCATTTAACCTTTAGGCAGATTTGAAAGACAGTTTGGGTTTCACTGAGTTGAGTAGCTAAAAGAAACAGACTATGTTTTTATGCCCATGTGCCTCTGGTACTTGTAGCATTAGTTTGCTTGCTCAATAAATCACTACTGTATAGGGATTTTTATAGTTTATAGTCAGAAATAAAGAATGGTCTTACTTCTCGGTAGAATTTAGATCACAATATAGTCTCTAGAATAAGAGGACAAAAATGGTTTTTAAAACACAATTCCATAGTAAATTGCAGGTTCCAACTAACAAATAAGTTTAAAAATGTGTAAAAGGGACATTTTAAATGGTTGAAAATCTAGCACTTAAGGGGAAAAAAGCTAACCTCCCCCTATTCTATACAGGTAGTGCTAGCAAGATTGAATTCCCACTTCCTTTGTGCCAACATCTCTTTGCTCATGTGCCTGGATAACCGGGGCATGGAATTTTTCTGGAAGTTTCATCCAGATTCTTTCTGGACTAGAAAAGAGGGTCATAAATTTTGATTTTCTGTGATAATTTTTGCACAGTTTTAGTAAAGTATGGTAAAACTCCATGTTTGAAGGTTTGTCTGCCATGTTATGCTACCACCTCCTTTCCAATTTGAGTAGTTTATAACTTGGATGATGTGGTTTAACTGCAGGGGAATTTGTGTGGAAACATCCTGGCCTAGAAAAGCTTCAGTTTACAGCCCGTGGAGTTTAAACCACAGGGGCAACTTAGTGCAGTCATCTGGGACCCCTGAGTAGCTTAATAGACCTTCTGTCTTGTGTTTCAGCTGCTGCCTTTTTTGTCACGTATGAATATATGAAAGCCGTGCTTCATACAGCTACATCTCCATATTTAAATCCAATAACACACATGCTGGCGGCCTCCTGTGGCGAAATAGTAAGTAAGCTGTCTGGAAGACAGAGGGACATGGGAATGGCGGGGAGGTCCTTATGCTTTTACCAGTGCCTGACTGCCATATTGGGTTGTCAGAAGCTGTTTAGCGGGTGGATATTGCCTTTGGAAGGAAAATGAACCTGGCTGCCATATCCTCAATATGGAAGGATGTCAGTTTAAAATAGGGGTATTGAACCTGAGGTCTGGTATCTAATTCTTCCCCCTGGAGGGTCCTACTTTGGCCTTCTAGGGCAGTCAACAATTTGGTTTTCCAGGTTTTGTGGATTTTTTCCCATTTTGAGAATTCAAAAGACTATTTCAGGAGTTTAGGGATTTGCAATAAAAGGTTCAAGCTGCAATATGTATTTTTCTATGTTTTATGTTTTTATATTGCTGATGTATAAGCCATTCTGAGGTCTGGCTAATTGAACAGGTTAAAAAACCTTAAATAAAATAAATTTTGAGTTTTGCTTTGTGGTTTTTTTTGGGGGGGGGTGTCAACTCCTTTTGCCCTGTCTTTTTTTCCCTTCCCTGGAATGTGGCCCCAGAGAATTTCTTCAAAATTAGATTCAGGTATAGGGCTAAAAGAGGTTCAACCCTTTCTAATGGAAGAAGGCTAAACCAGGTCTGTACTTCTTTTCCCTCATTCTTGTTATATAGGGAAAGGTTCTGCTATTGAAGGGCTGCCTCCCATGGTGCCTTTGACGGAAAAGTATTAATGTGCTGTTCCAATGATAGGTCACATGGCAGCATTTGTTGTGCTAACCTTCACGTTTATGCAGCTTCATACAGTGGCCTTTCTGATCTAAACAGTTTTGACTAAAGCTCATACTGCACTTCTCTGATTTTCTTTTGTGAAGAAAAAAGCCAGGAATATAGAGATTTGGTGCAGCAGCTTCAGAGGTGGCACAGATGAGTGAGACCTCTCTCTGTCTCTCTCTCTCTGCTGTTTGTTAAGTGTTCTTTGATCTGCCCCCACCCCCCCGCCGATATCCCACATTGCACACACAAGGGCGAATGTTGTAATTATAGTTTTATTGATTAGTCATTATGTTTTAATCAAGCCTTGACCATAGGAAAGGCTATTACTTTGATAGCAGGCCTCAACTTTCAGCCTCCCCCCTCCCTACACTTTAATTGCTTGGCTGTAATGACCGGTTGCATATCAGTGTGAAGTAATAAGCCCAAAATATTAATTATGCCAGGATTGCTAAGAAACCCCACATTTATTTTTTCAGACTGGCTGCCCTTCTAGGGTGTGTTGAAGGAATTGAGCAGTGAGATCTTGCATCTCCTTTTTGCTTCTGGATTCCTTGGAAGCATTTGGAGAGCTTGCTTTATCTTGTGGCTTTCTGTTAAGGTACTGGACCCATGCTGTTGGAAACACGCTAGTGATGCATGGTTTGTGAGTCCCCAGAGAGACATCATTTAGGAGTAGTTTTTTTTTTAATAAAATGGCTTTGTGGAAAGATCAAAGTGAGTTGGGCCATGAGGCTATGTACACATTAACCGACCAGGAATAAACTCCACTGAGCATAGTGCGGCAATTCTTTGTGGTATGGCTCTAAAAGTTGGGTTAAGATATTTGATGCCTCATACTTATGAAAAGAAAATGGGAATATGAAATTGGGTAAAGGAAATTCAGTTTCTAATATAGGCATTAATGTTAATTTAGAAATTTTATTTACCTATTTCCAATGTTTATACAGTGCTCCATATCCAAACAGATTCCAAAGTGGTGAATAGTTCAACCTTAAACAGATTAAAATGCTGCATTGAAACCAAGGTAACTTTAAAATTGTGACTGGTCAGCAAGAACAAAGATGTCTGCAGCAGGCACCAAATACAGCACTATGTTGGTACCTGCCTGACCTCCAGAGGCTGGGATTTTTCAGAAATTGAGTGACTAGCCTGAAGCCTTTTTTCTAGTGGATGCTAGTCAGACCATGAGTCTGTGTGGACCACCAGAATGTCTTCCAGGGACCTCAAGGACTAGACAGATGGGTAAAAGAGAAGGTATTTTCTTGGGTACTCTGGTCCCAAATTATTTAGGGTCTTGTACGCTAGTGCTGGAGTCTTGAATACAGCCCCTTCTGGAAAGATGTTGCATGCTGAAAATGGGCAGCCCGAGGTACATACTGTAATAATCTAGTCCAGAGGTTATTGGTTCCTGTATCTCAGTGGCCAACGCATCCCTGCCTAGGAGAGGATGTAGCTAGCAAACTTTTCAGAGATGGTGAAAGGTGCTTAGAGCTGCTCCGGCCACTTGGGATTCCAGCAACAGTGATGTACCTAGGAGATTCCCAGACTATGAACTTGATTCCTCAGAAGGAGTACAGCCCCATTCAGAACAAGCAGTAGAGGACCTCCATCTTGCCAGGATTCAGTTTTAATTTACTGGATCTTATCCAGCCCATCACTGAATACAGCCATTGATCTAGGACTTGCACAGCCTCTTCTGATTCAGTTTTCACAGGGAGACAGGGTTGTCTGTCATCAGCCTATTGTTTACACCTTTGTTAACCACCCAGAGAGCTTTGGCTATTGGGTGGCATAAAAATGAAATAAATTACACTTAACTCTAGATCCCCAGTAACAACGTCCACTAGAATCATATGGATTTTAAACAGCTCTGAGGACAAGAAGGACCTGATCTCAGAACTTGCAGGACTGCACTCCCCTTGTCTCTCCCCCAGTGAAGATCATCCATCAGTGTGACCAGAGCTGAATAAATTCTGTATCCAGGCTGAAACCCATACTAGAATTGGTCTAAATAACTTTTGAGTATTATTCTTTTTATTTTATTAATATTTTATTAGAAAATAAGACTTTTGGTGGTTTCTGGTATTATAAAGTCTACGTGACACTATAATGTAATGTAGTCTTATAGTAGTGTTGTCTTTCCTCTTCCAGTTCAACAGACTTCACCAGTCCCTTCAAACTTAGGTAGTACCCATTTCCTTGGAATTGTACAGTAGGCCTACCTTTACAAATCTTTGAAACCATTACAAGAGTTGATTCAAACATTCAGAAACTCCACCTATCTTCTTTCTAGTCATACAATTTGTGAACACAGATCTGTGTGTATGGTGAAAGGCTTCCCATGTTGTCTGTTTTGGACATGTAGAAGGATTCTTGGTTAACCCTTCTTCCTCATATGCTAATTTTTCACATTGTATTTTGTTCCTGCCATTTTATTGGAGCGGGCATTTCTTCTGGTTTTGGTGTTCAGAGGCTGAGTGCTTTTGCTTACCTCCATGCACCAAAGGGAAGTATTAGCTGGCATGGGGAAACCCAACCCTTCCATAAATAGAATATTCTTTAGAAAAAAAATACTGGCAAGGGAGAAATTCCAAAATGAGTCCAAGGAGAACTGGGTGTACTTACTGGTCATGGAATGTTGACTGACTAGCGATGGGAGTAAAAATGGGAGTTGAGAAGTATAATAGAACGGGGAGCTGGAATTGGGAATAGCAACACTCCACAGTGCAAGATTTTGCCACAGGTCTGGCCTGGTTTGAATCTAATCCCAATGTTTGTACAGGCTGAACAGTGCATGCAGACTCTAAATCTTGGCTTTGACTCCAGTACTTGCCCCCACCCCCCCAAAACAGAAGACAATAAAACTTGAGCAAATCATGTTTGAACACATGTTGTAAATGCATAGTGTGAATAGGGATTATGTAACCATGTAGTGGGGTCACAGAAGCGCTCGGCTACAAATTGTGATGTCCCCAGCAGGCTGTACACCGTGGGCTTCATAAGGAAATGAGCATTGTTTCTTAAATGAATCGTGTTAGGTTCTGAAATATTCATAAACTAACCTGCCAAGTGGCTGTACAGAAGAGCAATTGAGCACATTGTTAAAAAGGTTGCTGAGAAAATGAGATTTGCTGTCATTAGGACCTGGTGGAGAGCACAGAGGAGAGGGGCAGTTAAATTGGAAGGAAGCTCAAATTAAGGCTGCAGCTGGAAATTGCCTGTAAATAAAGATGAATGGAGGCAGAGAGCTGCAGACACTGCCAGCAGATTCATCACACAATTAAAGGCTAAAACCAGCAAATTAAGAACTGTCAGATACCTAACCAGCTGCCTACACAGCCTCCCATGCATGTGTTCTCTTCCTGGGTTTTTCCTCCCATTACTTCAGTTTCTTGGCTTTCCCATCTGTCGGAATGTTTTTTCTTCTCCCAACATTAACTGAATCCCTGCCAATTTTTTTGGACTGGTGAATGGTATAGTAGAAATATACTGTAATTTCTTTTACGGTAACCATTCTTTTGTTCTGTTTTTGTAACCATTCTTAAAGACAGGATGACTTGGAAGAAATAAGGATACATGAAACAAGTTACAATCCTTGTTAGGATCTTGGTTATCCTAATCGCTACAAGGAGAGCATACATTTTATATATTCAGTCCTTGAAAATGTATTGTGAACTATACTAGTGAGATTTGCCTCATGCCAGATTGCTAACCTGCCAGTAAACACATCTATAGAGGTGAAAATAACTTTTATCTCCAGATTTTAAAAACAAAGATCTGAAAGAATTGTACTTCAATTGGCTTTAAAAAATGGAGTGGGAGTTATTTTGTATTTTATTTTGAAGTACATCTTAAAGCATTTGCCAAACTATCAGAAAGGTCTGATGTAATACCTATTTACATTTAACTGGGAAAATGTGTTCACAGCTGAGTTCTTTCAGCTGAATCTCTCCTTTTCTTCTGTCATGCAGACACTTAAGCCAGGCTTGCTAATGCTCACATCCCTCCCCTCTCCCAAATTCTAAAACTTTTAAGCTTGTACAAAATCCCTGATAACTCAATTACTTGAATACACATCTAAAAACTTGAAAATCAAGGGAGGACTATAGAGCATGCAAACACAGAGTCTTGAATCACTGTGCTTTTTATTTATTGTATTTATATCCTTTTTTTTTTCCTTTTAAGAAACTCAGGGCGGCTTACATGACTCTCCTCCTCTTATCTCATCCTCTTATCCTCAC